TCCATTGTATTTAATATTATAAATCTTAGAACAACATTAAGCAATACTGTATGCTAATCTAACCTTCTTTTGGCGGTGAAGTATCTATTACATCTAAGCTAAAGTGGTCGAATGCTTATGTACTTTCTAGTTCAATAAAAGCCAGTAGATAAGCGCACCTTGCTTGAAATCTGTCCTCGGCTTAAGTCGTTTTCAATTACTTTCCAGAAGCGTTCAATTTTTGTTTATTATAATGTTTTAATTGAAATGCCAATCTGTGTTCTTGGTAGCTATGTTCCATCTTTTCTCACATGCTGACTCATTTTCATTTCAATAGATCTTTAAGATCTTCGAAGGGCAGCTGACTCCTTCGGTAGATTTTGACAACAACAATGGCTCTTAGTTATCACCTCATCCAACTTAGCCAATACTCGCAGTATGAAGTCGCTTTCCCCGGAACGTTTATCATTTGCTCAGCTCTCGCTCACTGAGTGCCTGTCACTGGCTTCGTTCCCATTCTTAGGATGATCAACTTTAAAAAATAAATAATAAAAAAAATAGCCGCAGATAAAAAAATGCTTTTAAAACAAACAAAATGCTTTTATTGCCACGAAATAATCTCAGTACATGTTTCCATTCTCCTTACGCATTGCATTGTTGCGGGATCCTTTCTTTGGGCATGATACTTCTGTACTAAATGTAGGATATTCCAGCAAAAATTTCCTTCAATTGACTTCCTTGTAAGCTGATTTGATAGAGTCACACGGTTCACGGATGGATTTTAAAATTTTTCTCGAATCGAGTTCAGTAATCTACGTCGGAGACTAAAGGATTACGAAACTACAGTATTGCTAAACTGAGCCGCTTTATTTGCATGGCGGAGTGGTCGAAGGCGTTTGTTTCTGGAGCACCAGACGAAGCGGTCGCCGTTTGTGAACAGAATTTGCTGCTTTTGTTCTTTTGTTTCCCTCTCGTGTATTGTAGGAATCTTTGTGCGCTAAAAGTCTATACGTCTACCATCATGATATTTTATCCAAGGTATTATTTATTCTCTTCATTCATTTAACTTTTTTTTGCCGCGTCGATGTTATTTAGAGGGTTTACGAGTTGTTAATCAATTACGAAAGGATTCCGAGAGAGCTTAGTTCTTAATATTATAGTCCCTGAGTAATTTATGTAAAGGGAGGCGAAAGCAAACTTTATTATTCTCTGCGAGGTAGTTACTTCAGCTACAGCGCTCAGAGGACAGGTCAGTGAGATCATTTTGCTTCTCTGTTGAATTTGAATGTTGGTAACTTCAGAGAAAGGAAGCAATTTGAATTTTATTCAAACGAAATTACCATACGGCGATGGACAATCCACATGTCTGACTCAGACACCTTGCTGTAAAGCGTTTGTTGTTATAGATGATGTCACTGTTGCTATTGTCTCCATGTTCTTATCGTACGAGTCCTATTTAAACACACTTAGTGGTTATTGCCAACAGATCAATTACTGCCTAAGGTCCTCTCTCTCAGGTAGGTCTTAAGGAAAACTAAACTCAAAACATTCTTTAAAACATATCGACAAGGACATGGATGCAGCTGTCTTTGCCCTCTAATCAAGCTTAATATTGTCGTTTGTCATCTTGGCCGTGGGGCGATAGTGGCATGATTTTTTTATGCTGTTCTTAATCTTTCAAGAGATTCGTTTGACTCTTAATCTTAAATGTATGTGATTTGGACTTAGTTTCAAGTTACTCGAAGGCGATAAAAGTATGATCAGTACGGGTAAAACCTCTTTAAAGATCATCTCAGAGTTTAAAATGAAACAGCTCATCACGTAGAACGACTAACGTGGGGTAACGCCCAGGAAGTGACGTTCAATCACATATTTCCTTTTACTCACTCAGTAAAAGACAGACCTTGTTGAAATATGTTTCCTGAGACGATCACTTTGTAAAAATAAAACATGTCGATTATCTCTAATCTAACAAATTTGTTGGGTTATGTTTCTGTTTGATTCAAATCTTTCTTTTAAAAACGGTCAAGATCATCTCGGTTCCGACTGATTGAGGTCAAGCCCAATTTTCAGTTCCCCACAACATGTCTATCGGGGCAACCAGGTGGACCAAATCGAGCAGAACATATTTCTAAACTAATCTCGTAATCTTCATAAAATTCTTGTGTTTAAAGTTCAACTGTTCGCTTGGCTGGTTCCGTCAACCCTGATCAAGAGTCGTTCTCATGAGAACAAACGGTTGAGTGACTTAGCAGGTTACCGCACTTAACACTGCCGTGTCAGTTCTCGTTTACCTCTGGAAAATTCGACTCCTTTGTGAATACTTGGTAACAAATTTGAGTACTTAAAATATTAAATTTCAAAATCTGGATTGAAAGTTAAATTAGACTTGGCTCATTTTTTCTATCAAGAGAGTTTCAGCTGTAAGCTTTAAATAAGTGAACATAACTAAATTAGAAATCGTCATCGAATAAGCGATTCACCAGGGGAAGGACTGGTACTTAAATCTCTCATTATAATATTTGAGTGTAAAATGGAATAGTCTTGAGGATATGATTCCCACATTATTTTTTAGATGCTATTTTTAGTTTCTGGTTTGTTTACATTTCTCCACATGTATTGCAACAAATCGGTCATGGTTATAAATCAATTTGCGGATAACTTTTAGTTTCCCAGTTCTTATAAAGAACGCTTTTCAATGTCCAGTTAGTGACGAAGACGAATTAACGAAAATGTTCAAAATCATACATTTCATTTCGGCTGCCCAACAGGGAAGTCTGTCACTTTTTTTAATTTCAATATCCTCGTCAAAATTATGTAAACACGCTCCCACTCAAATTGGACGAGCAGTTTTTGTGTCGTGGAAACATGAACTTTTAATGCATGGATAAATATACAAATAAACATAGGTGACGGAATAAAACTTGTGCAAAGAATCCTTTGGAAATTTTGTCGCCACAGATGATTATCATCGTCCTATTTAATTAATTTTTAAGCTAAGCAAGATTTTCGTTCCAGAAAGTGACACATCTTCCTTTCCAGTTTTAAAAACTCCATTATAGTGGCAAACCCATATTTCAATGTCTTCAATGACAAATAGCTTATTAGCGTCGCGGGAGTCTTATTGTTGCGATAGTTTCTTGGATAATTAAGAATTTCCAATTGTTTCTAGGCTTTTTATTTTTTAAACAAACTTTTGCAATTACGCGAGGAAATATTGGTCAGCCATTAGAACGTGTTTTTCCTCAGGGCTGACTTTATTGTCCGATGTGTTAATTTTGATAATGACGGAGCTGCAGACAGTCACGGATACGTATTCCAACATTAATCATATAATATAGGACAAGTTCCGTCAAATTCCGCGCCAACGCAATCGCTTGGCAAACACAGCGACATTATAAATTTGTCGGGGGAAGGGTTATAAGTTAAAATTTATTGTGAGAAAAACTAACAAGGGAAATGTTTGAAGTTTAAGAAAATGTATTGAGTCTAAACTAAGAAAATATTTGATAAGTTTTTATCACAAGAAATCAGCAGACCTGTTTTAAAATTTCAAAAGTGGCAAGAAACAACTAGCTCAATTTAGTCCTCCCCTGACAGCTGTTAGTTGTTGATAAGGGTGTCAGGTCCCACGCGGTTGTCAGTGGCCTAAACGCGTGTTGCTTGAAGAAAACATAGTAAAGGTGAATAATTTCCGTTTCGCCGCAGGAAGCTGCGTTCGTCGTTCAGAGCGAGTTCTCTTTTTTACGGGATATGGAGGTTCTCTCCCCGCAAAACCAGTCTATAGATGGTGAGTAGTCTACGTTTCTTCTGGTGTAATTTTTTTAGCCATCAGTAATTTGTCTGGTGGAAAGCGGACGGCGAACACAAGCCTTTCAGCTGGGCATATGTCTCCCTGCTTGTGAGACGTCGTTAACTTTGGACGCACGATATTAAACTGTTTTTATTTTGCACGATCTTTACTGCTTACTTGAACGTCATATTTTTAGTTTGTTACTTCAGATGTTTTATTTCATATTGGTTTCGAGATTCGCCACAAAACGAGCACGGTGCTTAACTATGAACACCATCGGTTCCAAAGCTGGAGCGAGATGCGGTTTCTTGGCCGTCAATTATTCATTCTAAATTTCACGAATCTGTTTAGGGTTCATTAGTTGTCCAAATGCTGTCTAAGAGGCCATTCGTTGACTTTTTCTATTTTTTAAATGGAGTAAAGATTTCATTTTTGTGGAGTGTCAAGTTTAATCGAAAAGTAAGCCATCGTCGTGTAACGAGCGAGTTTTAACTACGTGGAATGCTTGTGTCAGACCTATTTTCCGCTGCTCGTCAGAATTCATCTACATATGATAATCTTATAACGCGAAAGCGGATAATAATTTGTGGTAGGAGGGGCTGATAAACAAAGCGATCGTTAAAAACCGTAAAATCCTGGCAATATTTTAAGCTGAGCTGTGATTCCTGTGATGTGCTCAAGAAAGCGAAAAATTATTCTGTGTGACACAAATTTCATTTTGCGCGTCATTGCTATTTGTTTTCTCTAGTTATCAATCGTGGAGGAGACGGGAGAAGGTTTAAGTAATACGCCGTTGAAAAAATATATTCTATCTGTTTTCCAAACTTTGTGGTTGTTTTCTCCTCCAAAGAGGTTTTTCTTTAGTTGCAAATGCGTGATGATTGATGGTAATTAACAATTCGTGGTCCAAAGGGTCTCAACCTTTACCTAGCGTCGGTACGGGGTATTCCATAGCACGAGTTGGCAACGGTTTCGAATGCTCTCGGTCTATTTGTTCAGTTTTCAAGGTTATTTGTAAACGATCATCTACTGTCTGGCATCAAGTGAGAACTATTTTGTCGTGTTAGCTCAACTCTTATGGGACGACAGGAAACATTTACCTCCCCGGAGGGTCACCATATCGCTTATTACCTTCGAGAAATGCGTTCGGTTTGTTTCGTCTCACACTACATAAAGTGGTCGTAAATTATGCAAAGCCTAGCTTTTGTCTTGCTAAATTGTTTACTTGACTATCACTGCACAAAGACCAAACTTGACGCCTAATGTTGAATAACAAACCCAAATAAATCACAATCTCGCCACAACTCACTTGAAATGTCGATATCAATTCAGATAGTGCTTTCAAATTCGATCAGACTGTAATTTAAGGGTTTGTTTCGAAATATTTCAACTCGTTATCAAAATTATTTTTGTCGCAATTTGCTAATACATTAGATTTCCCATGAACCACAGGGTAAAAAACCCACCTGTTACCACAGGAGAAATGAACTTGTTATCTTTAGATTCATTACTGGCAACTCTTAAAATCATGCTGCTGTGTGAGATTGGAATTCATGTCGTGGCTTAATTGCCAACCTGACCTAAACAGGTAGAATGTTTCGTAAATAACTTAATCTTATTTGATGGCCTTTGTGTGTTTAGTTTTTTTCTTAATTTTTTCTCAAGAAAATACTTGCATATTAATACAGAGGAGTAATTTTCAAACACAATTTATTTTGTAAAAGAATGGATAATGTTATTTAGTTTCATGTTACTTGTAATGCTGAATAGAAACACAAATTCGGTTGTGAGAAATCAGCAAAGCCATATCTAGAAAAATTAACTGTGTGGTTGTGGCAAAGTTTATTGTTTGTCCTGCGAGGAAAACATTGATCTTGCTGACAGCACAATTGCCTGCCATCTTATAAAGAAAATGTGAAAAGTGATAGTTCTCTACACCAAGGGTTTTATAACAATGGCTTTATATCAGGAATGAAAACAATGCTGTGCATAAATATATATTTGTTAAAAAATTGTTTTTTATGCCTCTTGAGGCATATTACTGGAATTTATGCATTGTTCTGAACAATTAGATTAGGTTGAGCATGGTCATTCATGGGATTGGTTACCAGGAAGTTACTAAAACCTTGTCTTTCTCAAGTTCTCAACTCATTATGAATATAATTTAGGTAAAAATTAGCTTATTCACATAAATTTATCTTGAAAAAACTGGTTACAGAGGTTAAAGCAAGCAGTATGTTTTCTGTGGTTTTCCTCTGACAGCTGTACTGTTAATCTATATTTGTCTGCTTTCCAGAACTCATTGTGGTAGTCTACAAATCTTCTAAACATTTTCCAGAAAATTTCTATTTTCATTACTGCATGGTGCACAGTCTTCCCAATCCCTGTGGTCAGTGGCCTCTTTGTTTTTGCTAATAAATGTGTAATCCTCAATTTTATTTTAAGATTATTCCTCCTTGGATGAGTCTTGGGATTCCCGTCTGCCAACTCCTCTTGCATTAGACTTTTCTTCACTGAGGGAGGAAGAAGATTCCATCCCAAACACACAAAGGGGCCTGTCAGATGTGGAAGGACAAGACTTATATGTTGATAGTCTTGGTTATGAAGGTTTGTGGTCAATGACCAGAGAAAGATGTTTTTTTTTTCAAAATAATATAAAAATGGTGGTCCTTCCTGTCTGTAAGTACATGTGAGGTCTCATAAGTCTTGTAAGCATATATATATTTTATAACTCCCCAAAATGTTAATATTGTACAAAGATGGATATCGTTGTATAATGACTGAAAAGTCAAAGTAAAAATTGAGAGAGATGTGAGTGTAAGGCCAATCATTAATGATTTCTGTAAATATACACTGTAAGTTGCTTATTTTAGGCATCATGATCTGGATGTGATGTTGATGTGTAAAGAGAAACAACCAAAAGTACAATATTGTGCAAAAGTATGTGTAACAAGTGAAATGCACAAATTTGATTTTTTGTTGTCTGGAATTTGAGAAGAAATTTTACCCAAAAAGCTGTGAAATCAACATGTAAACATGTAAAGCAATGTGTTCACTCAAAGGAAACACTTTCAAAGCCTGTAGCTGAAAGACTTTTCACTATGTTGCTTTTTCAAATTCACATAGTTCACCTCAGTCATGGTGATACACCATAATGAATCTATCACATTGCAATCAGGTACAATTATTTTTACCATGATGACTTGTCTTCTTATTTGACAGTACAAGGAAGAGTGCAGAGACAGGGTTAATTGTCAGAAAAATTGGCATGCTTCTGCTTAAACTTGTGTGGAAAATAGCACTTAAAAACACACATCAGCCAAAACAATGGAGTTCTACAAAAATTTGGCTGTGAACTAAGGTTCATCATATTTCATTGAAATCCCCAAATTTGTAATCTTTTCCAGATTTGGCTTTCACTACTTTTGCAAATTATTGTACAATGATGAAACCCATTTAAAGCAGTTTATTAGAATGAACAAAGTGATCAACTCAGCTAGACCTCTCAAACAGTTTTTCAAGTTTTTAACATCATACATCTTAAATATATGTTTAAAATACTGGTTGGCCATTTATAGATTTTTCAGCCTCACCGTCTGGTTTGAATGGGTATATGGCAATTAATGGTACTAGAGAAAATGATACTGATTACCTTCGGATGGCAAAGAAAGGTGGTGGACATGCAGGTTTGTGTTTAATTTTTTTAAAATAAAATGTCAGTCCATGCAGTTGTTTACCATGAAGGAGATGATCATGAACTACAGAAACCAACATAAACCGGCTACTTGTAACTTCCTCCCTTCATGTTATAAATTTGACAGAGCTACTTTACAAAGACTACATGAACTTTGTAAAACATTTCAAAATAAACCAGCAGGGTCATTTTGGGAAGTTTTATTCCTCAATTTAAGAGTGCTGAGAGTATAAAGTATGTTTTTGAGAGAGTTAAGTTAGGGTACAATGTAAGACTTTTTTATGGAATATGCTTCAAGAAATTGATTGAAACTGCCCCAACTTCAAAGTAAATGACTTCAAGACAAGCAAAATTTAGAGTCTAAAACACTTTATGTGATAAGCTGAATTATACATTTTGATTGGTTCTTACAGATGCATAGAAGATTTCACTACCAACACCATTTTTTTTTCCATATAAAACAAGTAAATTCCATCTACTGTGGGCGTATACAATAACAGATCACAGAAGAGTGCATTGGGTGTGCCTCATGGGACACTTTTTTGTTGTGGGCCTCACTGAAGATTCTTTTAGGCAATGAGCTCCCACCAAAAATAGTTTTGATGAAATAAATAATGTTACTCACATTTTTTTCGCTATCACTATTATTAAATTAGTTTGCTCCAGCTGTAGCCTTTGTTATCTAAATTCATTTAGGGTTTGAATTTCCAATTATGTAAAATTATAATAATTCTCAGCCAATTACATTTGCCACATGAGGTTGTCGAGTAAGGTTTTTTTTTTTTTTAGAGTTTGGTTATGAAACAGTGGCCAAAGCATACTTGGGCTCTGGTGGTCATATAAGTCAGAGTTATTGTCCCAAACTGGAGTTTTCAGTTTAAGACCAGGGTTTGTGACAATTTAAAACCTGAGTGATAGTAAACCAACAAATAATTTTCATTCTACAGATCTGTTAAAAGTAGAACCCCACACACCCACTCCTGAACCAGTCAGATATGACAAGAAGGATGGACAGTGGTACACCCATGATGGAGTGGATGTCAAGGACACTCAACAAAAGAAAGGTGAGAGTTCTTTGACATTACATCTTATCGCAACTTGTATTATTAATATCATAATGTGGGGTGGGGGGTGGAATTGTAAAAATTTCACAGTCGTAAAATTTTATTGTTCACTTTCTAATACCTTCTCTTAGAAATGATTACATTGTCCAGGGATCAACTATCTTCATCTTCTAAAAGCTCAGTAGACATAGAGACGGATACAGAATATCTTCAACTTGCAAAGAAAGGTGGAGGGCGTAAAGGTAACCCTTAGAAGATCTTAACACAAGTAACAATGTTGATGAAGTTTGGGGTTTGGTCAGGAATTCTCAAAGTAATCTTTTGTTTTTAATTGATTAACTTGTTGAATAATTTTCTAGTACTGCTAGTGTCATTATGTCCATGCGGTGTAGTCTTCAAAATCACAAAAAATCATGTAACTTTGCCCTAAAATGAAAACTCAATGATGGAGTTTTCATTTTGGGGCAAAGTTACATGAAGGCTTGCTAGGCGTTGGCAAGCTTCAAAGAAATTGAGGTATAATTACATGATTTGTTTCTGCCAAATCCATCAATATTCCTTGGAATCCTAGTTGTGTTAGTCATTTTTCGTAGTCAGCTCTTTGGTGCTACATATAAACACATTCTCCTGTAAGTACTAATAAACATTTTTGTAAAACTACTTTAGCATCCATGCTTATTAGTTGTTTGTAGTTTTGACTGTTCCTCTTAAATATTAGATTTATTAACAGTAGTTCCCCACACACCCACTCCTGAACCAGTCAAATACACCAAGAAGGATGGACAGTGGTATACACAGGATGGAGTGGATGTGAAAGAGACCCAACAGAGGAAAGGTGCAGTATCATTTGTAAATTTTGACACAAATTGTATTTCCCCTCATGAATTGAAGCTGGTCAGCCTTATGCATATTATTAGTTGATTGTAAAAGAACTGCAATTACCCATGGCCTTCATGATGACTGCGACTATTGAAATAAACCAGTTGATGACAAACCAATGATATGGGTTATTTCTTTCTATACATCACTGGAGCATTGTCATTACCATTGTAACTTGATGAGGCGACTATTTAAAAGGGAAATTTTTTAATTCTGTCAATCTATGTACTGGATTTTGCATCTTGCCCTGGAGAAATGTGTTAACCACCCTTTGACAAAGATCTGTAAGATTTTATTATACCTTTAATAAGATCATATATAGTTGTGTTGTACTTCCCCCCTCCCCCAAATTTGTAGGTTTACATGAATCTGTTTGAGTATTGTAAATTATCCTCTTGATGATATATAGGAATGGACTGTTATAAGACTCATGTATGATTTAGAATTCTTGGAAGTGTTTGGTAGCTCTTTGATTGTACTCTAGCAAACAAAATTTGCAAACTTGCTAATTTGATAATTGTGGTGGTTTCTTTTCCATAACAGACTTGTCTTTGGCCTTGAATGGTTTACTCCATAACGGTGATGATGCACAACTAGCTGCTGGGGGAAAGCACACAGATTATCTTGACCTGGCCAAGAAAGGTGGAGGACATAAAGGTACCTAGCTGATGACACATATTGGAACATTTATTTCTGATCACTTATTTGTATTTTTGCATTCTGCTTACATGTAAATCCAAGCTTATCTTTGACATTGTGTGTAACTGAGCATAAATCTTTTTGTTATTTAATAGTATCTACTGCCCAGTCTTGTGTATAGATTTTTTTCACTTTTGCAGAGTTGAACATTAAAGGGTTTGTAGGAACACATCAAGGGCTCTTGAGATTTGTCACTTTTAGCATCTTAAATAGCGTTTGACAAGACTTTAAGGGTTTACCTTTAGGGTCTTAGTAGGGTCTACCATGCAGTTGACCATATTGCCTCCTTGATATCTGCTATATCATTTCTCGGGAGACCTGTATAATGCTCATGGACAAATTGCAAAACACACCTGGACAAATTGCAACTGTGAGCAGCTTGTACCATGGAAGGGTGTAAAGTAGAAAATACAGGCAGCACATGTACTTTTAGCTGGCCCTCCTTAGAAAATCACAGGAAATATCACACTTGCCTACAAGTGTTTAAATGCCTGCACAGTCTCATGCCTGCCTATCTTTTGTATGGATTTAGTTTTTCTAGCCAATATCATGCCTACAATACCTGATATAGAGATCTTTTGTGATTGCCCTCAGCCAAACATCCAAATATTAAGGTTCTTTTTGCTACAAAGGGGCAAAGGTGTGGATTACTCTAACTAGTAAACTGCAAAACGTAACTTCACTGCCTAATTTTCAAAAGATTTCTCAAACTTCATTTATGTAATTGGTGTAATGTACTTTGTAATGTAACATATATATTGTATATCCTATGTGTCAATTGTAATTTGTGTTGTAGGCTTCTTTTGTATTTTGTATTTCTAGATACATCATGTTTTACTTAATATGTCCTAAGCAGGCCCCCATTCAAACCTGCTTGAAGCTGAACTGGGCCAGCCTGCATTAATATAATTGCTAATAAATGAATAAACAAATAAACGTTGGATGTATATTGAAGGGTTGGACTAGGTGATGTAACCCCATGTACTGAATACAACAAAACTAAGGGCAATTCACATTTATTAAATAAGTTACATGTAACTCATATGCAAATATATTGGAACTTGTTGTATGGCACAGTGAACATTTGTTGACCACAGTAGTTCAATGGTTTAAAGACTTATGACTTATGCTTGTTTATATAATTGTCATGTTGTCTGCAGATTTATTGAGCATTCAAGCTCATACTCCTTCACCTGAACCAAAACAGTATGAAAAAAAACAATGGGACTGGTACAATCAAGATGACATGGTAATCAGAGATGGACCACAAGGTAAAGTATGATTCAGATTCCATAAAGAGAGTAGATACAGTATGCTTCTTACTCAAAGAATTTGATGTATACCACACAGGATACTTTTATCCCCCTAAAAAACTTGTCAAGTGCATCTACATGTACATGTTAGGAACAACTCTTGTTTAGGTTTAATCTTTGAAATCTTTAGAGCTCCTGTTTACTCTATAAATTATATCAGTGCTCATAATAATCCTCTTATAAATCATTGACTTAATTGTGTAAAAGTAAGAAAGGTGGAATGCATGTAGAAGAATTCTGTTTGCTATTTTTCATGTCTGTGTCATGTTCCACTTGTTATCCTTAAGCTTGTTTGAAATACATGAACAAAAAGTGTCAAGGGTGGGATTTTCAGTTGAAATACATGAACAAAAAGTGTCAAGGGTGGGATTTTCAGTTGAAATACATGAACAAAAAGTGTCAAGGGTGGGATTTTCAGTTGAAATACATGATCAAAAAGCATCAAGGAATAATACAGAAAGTACTTTTAAGTGACATTGTAAACCCAGCTTTTGCTGCTTTTGTGCAATATTATGAGTGGACTTTTCAGTTGAAATACATGAACAAAAAGTGTCAAGGAATAGTACAGAAAGTACTTTTAAGTAACATTGTAGACCCAGCTTTTGCTGCTTTTGTGAAATATTATGATGAGGGATTTTCAGTTTAGTGAGTTGAAAAATCTGGTCGGAAGTTAGATTGCTTTCTAGTTTCAAACAGTTATAAACATAGCCATTCTATTATGTACATTTCAGTCAGGGTACATAGCTTAACATGGTTTCTTCTTTCATCAGACTCTGGATCTGGTCAGAATCGTCGTCGAACATTTAGCGATTCTGCAAGTGAGTGTAAAGCTGAGACAGAATACCTGCAGACTGCAAGGAAAGGGGGAGGGCATAAAGGTGAGGACGACAGGGTTTTCACTGATATACACAGCTATGTATGCAATACAGTATTTATGGTATAACTATTCCCAAGATTGCAATAATTTAAAATGTGGTATAGCAGCAACAGGAGAGTGTTCATCCCCTACAAAAGGAAACAGATGACAGACTTTGCAATAAATTACTTTTATTTTTTAATTGATGAGTGTTGAAATATTCCAAAGTACATGTAGGTACCCATGTCAACACATTCAAATTGAAATTTAAGGGTTTCCAGTTCACACTACAGTAATTATTGCTTGTAAGGACCATGTTACTAACTTGGGGATTTGGGCATTATTTGCATTTAGTTGACTGTTATCAGGAAGGCAAAGAGTTCATTTTCTGATCAAACATGCATCCCTCAGCTTGATACATTGACATTCATGAGATGTCATATGCTTACTAATTTTCCATTCCTTATTTTTAGTATTAAGTGCTACTCATTACTCCAGCTTATCTTTGATTATAGGGTTTGTATAGAAATTGTTGAGAGAGTAACTTCTGCAGCAAACAGAATAGGAAATTATTTTTGTAAGAAATGAAGGCAACATTATTTTGGAACATTGTCAGGTTTTGACCCACTCAATGATAACTAAGAGGAGAAAAGGAGATATTTGAATGAGTTTTTTTGCTAAAGTTGGCAAAGATAGCGTCTGATTTGAGGCATTAGGTTCTTGAGGAAGTTCTTGAGGAGCCTCTTTAGCACCTTTAGGTGTAATCAGTGGATCTATTATAAATGTAAGAGGTATTCATTTTTAATTATTTATTTCATTATTTTTGTATTATTTCCTGCCTTAGATCTGTTGTCAATGGAACCTCACCTAACTTCCCCTGAACGGGTCAATTATGAAAAGACAGATGGACAGTGGTACACTCATGATGGTGTGGATATTAAAGAAACACAAGGGAGGAAAGGTAGAACTGAAAACAATCACAGCTTCACTTAAAAGCTGTTGCCTTGTCAGTCTCCATGAAACATACTTTAATGCACTGAAGCTTCATTTATGGGTCTGCTTTTATGAATTTACTCACATTGTATAAATAGCAATTAAAACTGACCAACGGATCAAGTTGTCATGAATAATAAGTAGCATAAGTATGTTAAAGGTACACCAGTAGACTCACAGTCTTACCTAGGAAAGTTATGTTTCAAAACTTGTTCATTATGCCACCTTGTTCTTTGGTCTATCATGGGCACACAGCTGTATATTTGTGACTGCATCATTGTGTCCTTTAGTGTGTTGATTACTTAATAATGTTTGTATCATTAAGTGCCAACTCAACTACAGTTCTGAAAGTTTGAAAGTATTGGAGTGCCTTACCAGGAAGTATATATATTCAATCAAACATTACCTACTCTCTCACGTTTTCATATCTTTAAAACACAGACAGGCGCATCCATTAAAATAAATGTAAATGATGTGGAGGAAGGGTTCTGAGTTTTCATGGCTTTTTTTCTCAAGGACTGGATGAAGTTATTGCACCAGTTTGGGCTAGATACTCTGATGAACAGTTCCTATGCCTCAATATCTGTTAAGTTTTATTCCTGTTTACTCTTTTTAGAAATGATTACCCTGCCTAAGAGCCCATATCCATCAAGTACAGCAAGTTCAATAGATATAGAGATAGATACAGATTACCTGAAGACTGCTAAGAAAGGTGGAGGGCATAAAGGTCAGTCTTAAATGTAAACATAGCATGGCTGGAATTATGATGCCTACATCTGGATCAGCATTATATTTTAACTCTGGGTTAGGGTTTTTGATAAAAAAAGAAGAAGTGTGATGGGTTTGAAGAATAATTTTTCATATCAAAGATTGGTTGTTTAATGTGGTTGTAATGGTGAATGCCACAAGTTGAAGTTTTTGCTTCATGGATCTTCTATACTTTCAACCAGTGTTTTTTGATTACACAAATCTCAACTTCAAATCCGCTCTCATTGTTGTTAAGCATAATTATAACATAGTTAGTAAATTTGTCTAATCAAATTCAATTGTGCGAGTGTGCTTCATATTCCTACTGTGCACGCTCATGACATCAGCAAACAAATCCCTTAGAAAAAAATTTTCCATCGGGTTGAAAATGTTATAAAACAATTGGTTCATGTGTCAGCTGTGTGTTCATCAAGGTATGGAGCACTTGGGAAGTTTGGAGAGCACTCAAGAAGCTAGAGTTGTTTGAGGCGTAGCCTTGAGCAACTCTTATGCATCTTTCGTGCTCTCCAAACTTCCTGTGTACTTCATATCTTGATGAACGCACGCATGATGTATGAACCAATTGTTAATTGGTTGAGGTGTTGTGTAGCTAATAGCAGTGAACCATCTTGATAAAAAGGTAGCAACACATGAACAATGGACTCCATTGTTCGGCAAAACCAGCATTATTGCACATAGAACATTCTGATCAGAAATGATTTGTGATAGTTAAATGTACCTTATATTGTGGAAAAACAATCATATTCTAATCCATTATAAAACTTTGTTGATTTTACTTTTAAAATGTAATTTTCTTTAGTTACTAATGGCTACACAGGGAATAACCTTTTCTTTGAGAACCATAATATTTGGTTTTAGGATATTATGGCAACAATAAATAAGGTTCACCAATAGCATATTTCTATAGTTTAAGGAAAATTAATTTTATCTGGTAAATTTGCCAACAGACTTGTTGACAGTAGAACCTCACAAACCCACTCCTGAACCAGTCAGTTATGACAAGACAGACGGACAGTGGTACACTCATAATGGAGTGGATGTGAAAGAGACTCAACAGAGGAGAGGTAATTCTTGTTGAATGTGAGGATTATAAGTTTTGTTCACTAATTGGGGATAGGTACATGTAAATGGATTTGATAAACAATTTGAGAAAGAAATGGATATGCATATTTTACAGTATACACCTTATTGTATATATTCACTTGACTGTATATATTCATGTTATCTTGAATTGGTATATTTCAGACTTGTCATCTAGTCTTAATAACAGTCAAGAGTGTGATGTCCTAGCTGCTGGTGAAAACTGTGGAGAATACTTACAACTTGCAAAGAAAGGAGGAGGACATAAAGGTAAACACTAGTCAGCAGTTGATGGTGTCAATGTCTGTAATGTTATTTGGAGATTTGTAGCATCATCCTGTCACAATACAATGGACACTGCTCACAAAGGTAGATTCCTCCTAAGTAATGTCAGGCCAAAGTGTAAAAAATTGTGTGCAATAAAGGTTTGATTCAGCAGCAGACCTGGTAGTGAACTGTGCATTTGCCAATTTTTTTTTTCAAAGATTGGAATGATGTGAACTTCAATTACACCAATTTTTTTAAAAAGTTTCCAGTTTTGGATCGTTTTAGTTCTTGTCTATGGTTTTTGTAAGTGTTTGATTGAATAATTATGTTTAGGATGTTTTTAAATAAATTCACAAACATGCTATGTTAAACAGAGCATTTTTTCATGTAAAACAAGTAAAAACTTTTAATTCAGATTCTTCGTATTTTGATGCATTGCAAATGGGAAAATAAAAACAGCAGAGCACTGCTTTTAACATAACCAACCTTAGCTATATGTTCTTTGTCTTCAAAAGGGAAGGAAGTTTCTACCAAAGGTGTTTTCTCTAAAAATAAGTTGCATTGCATCACAAAGTGAAGTGCATGTAGTTGTTTATAAAGAGAATTTTTGGTGATATCTCATAAAATAATTTTCTATCCAGTCAAAAATGGAAAATGGTGCTGTTCATGATAAACATAACAATAACAATAAGATTACATGTATACATCCATTTGGTTAAGATTTTACAGTCTATGAATGAGACGATCTACTAAAATGTTGATTTCTTCCTTTTTATGTTTCAGATTTGTTGACAATTGATCCTCATGCACCAACACCTGAACCTTCCAGTTATGAAAAAACAGATGGACAGTGGTACAGTCACGATGGAGTTGATGTGAAAGATACACAGCAAAGAAAAGGTATGTTGGATCCTGAAATAATGTAAGCTCCCGAATGTTTACTGACTACTTCAAGGTGGTTTTTGTTGCAAACTAAAAAAAATCATGCCAAACTTGAGAATTGCACAATTAGAAAGGTTTGTCCTTTTTGTGCTAAATAAGTAAAGTAAATAAATAAGTAAAAATAAGTAAATCTTCCTCAACTCTCTCTTTCCTTTAGAAATGATAACAGTTTGTAGCAGTCCTCGTCCAGTAAACTTGGATAGTTCATTGGAAGTTGACTCACAAACAGATTATTTAAAGATCGCAAAGAAAGGCGGAGGACATAAAGGTACTGATTTAAAACAATTATTGATACAACTGTGATTGCTTGTTGAATTGTAATGCCATTGAAAGAAATGCAAGATCCTCTTTTTGTTATAAATTTAACCCATTTAAGCCAGTGTGCCTTTGCATAAATCATATGATAAAGAGCCAAAGCAATGCACATTAAATGATATAGATTGTCTGCTTTCAAGGAGAGACTTAAAGACATTACGGGTATGTGTAAAACAGTAGGAGAAACTATTTCCAAAGAAAACATGATAGATTCATGTCAAATGTTACTGATAGATTGAGACTACAGAAAGACAATTGTTACAATTCTCTTCCATGTAGGCAAACCCGCGTCCAGATTGATTATCAAGTAATTTCAAGTCAAGTCAACTCAGAAGTCATGATGCACATTTGTTTAATCTACCCAAAATTTGCTTGTTACTGAAAAACTATGAATTGAAAGCAATTAAGACCTAACCTAACCCTAACCCTAAGCAAGTGACCAATCAAGACAAAAGCTCTATGCCAAAAAAATCAGTATATTTTCTGTTGGAAGCAAATTGTTTACAAATTTCATGAAAGTAAGTCTAGAATTGGAGCTCAGCTGACTCGAAAGTTGCAAGCTTGAAGGGGCTTTAGTGTTGCTTACATGAGACAAACACCTAGCATAATGGGTTAAAGGTGTTTCAGGTGTCAGTTCAATGAGGTTTTTATGGATGAAAATGATGTTTCTTTCTCCTGATTTACAACCATGCAGATAGATTTAATCTTAACATTTCTCTTGACTTCTAGTTGTACTTCCTTCATTTGCAAAAGTAAGAGCAGGAAAATGTGAAAATCTTAACTGAATAGGTTATAATGGTAGAAATATTTAATTCTGAAGAGGAACACACTGAATGTTTTGCAGAACAAACTTACCATGGAATTGATAGGCTACAAGCCTTTGTATATAATGTGTTGTTTTTGTCTTTGTTCCACGAGTTGTTGTGATCCATTGACATAATTGTTTGTACTGTGATAGATCTGCTGACAGTTGAACCTCACACACCCACCCCTGAACCAGTCAGATATGACAAGAAGGATGGACAGTGGTACTCACATGATGGAGTGGATGTCACAGAAACACAGAAAAGAAAAGGTTACTGCAGTGAATTACATGTTTATGTCTGCCACAGAGAGTATTTTAATTTTTCAGTCATTTATACTTCCCTATCAAGTCATAATTTGTAGTCATGCCAAAACATATTGTAAAAGTATTCTTGTAAATTTAAAATTTATTTTGATTGTATTACCATCACAAAGTCATGGAGGGTATCACTAAATGAGAAATCCAGATATATTTGTCTATTTATGTGGTTGATGTTGTGTTTGTTGAACAGAATTAGCTGTATCTATTGAAGCTCAACAAGGCACAAAAACACTACTAGCAGCAGGAGGAAACAACACAGAGTACCTTGACTTGGCAAAGAAGGGAGGAGGACACAACGGTAGGCTCATTATTTTACTTGATGTATCTTTTCTGTAGTTTGCTGCCTTGTGTATGTATCCACAGTATTTTAAATTAATATGGCAATGTAGAATCATGAAGTAATGGCAAGGAAACCTTTAAGTTGTGAATTAAACCAATTGGGCCTTTGGGCTTGAAAACACTCACTTGAAATACAGGCTAATTAAGTGGTAAATGAACAAAAGATACTGCATGTAACATGCTGGTAACTTGTTGTTTGTTTTTATACCTGAATACAACAGATAATTATTTAAGGAGTGAAAGAATAAAAAACATTTTGCCTTCGACAGAGAAAAAGGTTAATTAGTAAATTAACTAGTAATTAGTTAATTAGTAATAAAACTAACTATTGTTGTGCAAACAGTGTACAAGTCATATATTTAGAGCCTCAAAAAATTTTAGGAAAGCCCTTACACATGTATTTTCTTTTTTGTTAGATTTATTGACAATAAGCCCACATGCACCTACACCTGAACCTGTAAGATTTGACAAGAAGGATGGACAGTGGTACACACATGATGGAGTGGATATCAAAGAGACACAGCAACGAATAGGTAAATAGTATTATGTAGCATGCAGTAAGTCTTTTGCTTTAACACTTTGAAAAATTTTAGTGTATGTATTTTCAAGTTAAGTCTAAAATTAATGTTAGCACTGGGTTTTCCACTTTAATTGATAAAATTGTCTCTTAGGCTCTCTTTTCCCGGCAGTGGATTCTATTTCTTCTCCTTGACATTCACTCATGAACCTGTGTCCATCCATCCTGATTTTTGTAATCTAATTACCAGCACATTTGAATGTGAATCTTACATCTCATCACTTATTGAGATGCTATTTGTTTCAACTGCAGCATCACAAAGTATGTGTACAGTTACCTCTCATAGTGGATAAAAAAGAAAACCGTTGGTTGGCTAGAGTCATCAGGGGAAAATTGTTCCAGTCTATAATAATAGATAATTACTCGGTTAAATTGCAAAAAGCTGTGGGTCACAATAGTCCATTTTACAGTTGCATGCTTAGTTGCCAAGCCTTTGGACAAGAGTGAGGCTAAGGGTATTATGATACAAGCATTAAATTGCTGTTTTTCAAATGTAAATTACTTTGTTATCATGTTAACTAGATACTGGTCTCTATCACAGCAAGGTCACCTTCAGCCTCACTCTAAATCAAAGGCTTGGTAACTAAATATACAACTATAATTTCAGATATATGCTAACCAGGCTGAATTACATACACTATCAATAGTTTGTTTACACGTCTCTGAGCATTACTATACATAATCAGGTTGTGTTGGAATTAATGGAAAATTACATGTGCACAGAGAGAGTGCCTTATGCATGTTAATCAATGATGGGAATGCAATCATTGCTTGATGTTTTGTTGTCCAGACTCAATTGTGTCACTTGATGATCAGAAGAACAGTGAGTGTGTCATGGCTGCAGGATGCAATAACAGAGAATATCTTGAGTTGGCAAAAAAGGGTGGAGGACATCAAGGTAACTGATGAGTTGTACAGCATGCTTACATAATTGTGGGACATCACATTCTTTGAATATGTTTGATATCTTTTAAAAATAAAGACATGTTTGTTACAAATGGGCTAATGTTTTACAAAGGCAAGTAAATTTTTGCAGTGTTGCAGAAATCCTGGGAATATGAGACTAGGGCCAATGTCTAGCCCAAAACTTACTGGTAAATCAGTCAGGAAAATTAGGTAGTTTCTTGATTTTTTGCAGCTGAAATGAAAAAGTTAAGGATAATCTCGCATCATTGACAGTCACACTCTGTAGAGGTATCTGCAGCGACAGTCAAGGTCTTAAATGAGGGGTTTGATGAAGGGCTAATCCTTCCAAACTAGGTGACTAGGCATAGACTGAGGCTGTTCACAGCTAAACATGGCCTTGTAGAAGAAATGTTGGATAACAATTTCTTTACTTTCATTTTAAGAAATGTTTTGAGTGTACATTATGCATCTGTGCTTGCAGATCTGTTGTTAGTTCAACCCCACACACCCACCCCTGAACCTGTCAGATATGAAAAGAAAGATGGAGAGTGGTACACACATGATGGAGTGGACATAAAAGAGTCACAACAGAGAAAAGGTAGACCGACCCACAAAAATTGTGAAGCTGTTTCATACAGCTGGTGACTTTTCACCAACTCTATGAGTCAAGTTGTTGCCCAAGTTCTTTGCAATCAATGTTGGATAGGGAGTTAATGGTAGTTTGATATTCAGTTGATTATGAGACCCTCTACAATACACTGAAGTAACTTGCTCTTTCCAAGACCTGTAATGAAGACCTTACATTCAGTAATTTTTCATCAATAATTAATTTGACAGAACATAACACATGAGGGAATGTGTATAGACAGTTTGACAATATTGATACCAGTCTTGGTGTTTTGTTTACTGGATAACCACAGGTTTAAACATTCAGATTGTATATTTTATACTGTGTCCTTACAGGTATGGATGAATGACTGATTTTATTTTTGAGGGAAGATTTTCCTCTCATTCAAAAAAGTGTAAAATGTTGCGATGACTGCAATTTCTCTGAACAAGAGGCACCAACTCAGTGCTTATGTAGGAGTGCTTTACCCATATTATTCCAATCAAGGGAAATTTGAAGAATCTGGTTATTTTATATAGATTTGTCTGTGACCCTGGAAAGTATTCCAGAAGATTTATCAGCTGCAGGAGAGCACAATGGTGATTATCTTAAAACTGCCAGACAAGGGGGACGTAAAGGTAATATTTGAAACCATTCATGGTATGGTGCATGCATAATAACTCCATAAATGTTCTTGTGGAAAATTTATGTCAAAAATTTATTATGATTGAAAGTGTTGGTAAAAGCTCTCTTGTTATAATATTGTTAGACTTGTTAACAGTAGAACCCCACATGCCCACCCCTGAACCAGTCCGATATGACAAAAAGGATGGACAGTGGTACACACATAATGGAGTGGATGTTAAGGACACTCAACAGAGAAAAGGTTTTAACTCTTTCTCTTACTTGAACTTGAACATTTTTGTATTATCCAAAGCAATATCAGGCGGCCTGAAATGAAAATCAAGCAACTAGTTGACTATTGTGTGTAATCTCTGCAGCAACAAGCTTTTATGAAAAGTTTTGACAAGATTACGTGAGCATGCTTTGCAAATTCAATAGTTTTTGTTAAATAGTTGATGTAGGAACATAGAAGTCTTTTATTTCCTTTTCTCTTTCCCCTACAAATAATTAACTAGCTCAGGCACTTGTGGAAAATACCTCAAGAAAGTGAGACATAAAATAGTTGCCCCAAGGGCAAGGTAGAATTTAAATATTTTCCATGCCTTGATCACAAAACATCATTAATTAAAAACATTGGATTTCGAGGAAATTAGTGAATGTCACGTGATGGACACTTACATTGTTGGTGTAACTTCTCATTAGAAATGGTAACAGTTGCAAGCAGTCCTCGTCCAGCAAACCTTGATAGTTCATTGGAAGTCGACACGGAAACAGATTACTTAAAGATTGCAAAGAAAGGCGGAGGACATAAAGGTTGTTCTATAAACTTGATAAATAATAATACTATTCATTTGAGTACTTAATAGTAGTTCTCGTGACGTCTAAGTTAACGAGCAGGGTTTCCATTATCAAGCCTGGTCAGACATCTCTTCTAGTGTGCCAGCAATGGTTTGCTAGTGCACCTAGCAAATATGCCGGAGCAGTTTAAAAAAATATGAAAATATATTTATTTGCCAAGGGTAACCAATCTGAATTTGTGGTTTCTTTCAATTTATTTTAAAAAAATTGAACTAGAGATTGAGGCTAGTGATAGTCTAAAACCTACAAGCGCAAAGTGAATTGTTACCATAAGGCTGGGGCTAGTTAGTCATTGTGAAGATCCAGGAACATAAAGAAGGTGCACTCTATGTTTATAGTAACGGGAAACTGTTCTATGGTAGATCTGTTAACAGTAGAACCTCACACGCCCACTCCTGAACCAGTCAGATATGATAAAACAGATGGACAGTGGTACAATCACGATGGAGTTGACATTAAGGACACGCAGCAAAGAAAGGGTGAGTTTAATTAGGTGTTGGGAAGAATTTACTGCATCGTTTGAACCTCTGGAAGAATCTTGGAAAGGCTGAAAGCATTGTTGACAAATGTCATTGAATTGACTCTCCTTATGTCTGTGTTTCTGCTTCCTCATATTTACGGTTTCAATCCTTGGTTACACTCAAATTCAGTTTTACCACTGAAAGTGAGAAGTGAGTTTTAGCAACTGAAATGTTAAGTCTGGTCGCTAGCACGATAACACGAATACATGTATTTTTGTTCAATCAACAATTGCTAGTGGGAACATGTTTGTAAGAATTTTTATCTTACACCAAAATGCAAAATTCCTTTTCCAGTCTGTCCATCTGGTGACTGAGAAGGTTTGGTAGCAATTTGTCATTTGCATCAAAAAGGTTTCGTCAGTCTTTGCATTTTGAAAAGCAATTACTGTTGAAGCTCCCATGGGCAGAAACCCTCGATGGTATTTGTTAAGGGGGCTTGCAACTTTCGAGAATAGGTCGCGTGAGCAGCCACCTGCGCTAGAACTTTGTGATAATTGTTGAACTGTTTTCCTCTTACTCCCTTGTCAATCTTCGTGGTGAAAAATCGAACGTCGTGATGATTAAATCAGAATGGAAAGTTGTGACATAATTCCCTACGGTAAAATGTGATGATTTTTATAAAAAGAATATTTGGCTCTCTGGCGTTACAATGTGTATGTGAGATTGGTGTTTCGTTAGTAAAGCTTGTCACCGTAACCCAAGATAATTATGTTAGCTAGTCTACCAGCTTTAGTAAAGTGTTTGTGATCGGTGTATTGGATCGGAAAAAATTATGGAAGAGGGAGATAAAATGTAGCATTCGCTCTCTAGGAAACATTTTTAATGCAACAAGTATAGCTCTAGATGTGTTTTTATTTTTCATTGGTGATCTCTATGTTTGTATTCTAAGCAATGATCTCTGCATCTCGAAGAGGCAAATCGAAGGAAGCAAAACTCACACCATATGTTTTGAGCTTCTGTTGTTGTTAGCAACAGATCAACATCCTCAGTCAGGTTTAGCAATTTACTTGATTGATACTGAAGACCTAGAGTGCAAAGTGCAGCTTCCATTTTGGGTGCGCTTCGAGTGTACATATTGAGTGTTGTAATTTGGTTTTGTTCTTCAATGTCGAGTTTTTAAAAAACAATTCATAGCTAGTATATGTTGATCATTGGCAATTGATTTTGTCGAGATTATAAGAAAGTGCTTGTGCACTTCATGATGTTTTGATAGGATGTCAAATTGCGCACGCCTATGGGTTGTTTAGTCACCCGAAAGCGTTTAAAACATCACCGATGCTCATAATTTACGAAATGCACTCAGGTTCAATTGATTTCCTTCACTTAAAGTTAGACGCGATATTTTTTTTAGAAATGGTCACAGTGTCTTCAAGTCCACGCCCATCGAGTGCGCCAAGTTCTGAAAAAATTCCGATAGAAACTGATTATCTCAAGATTGCTAAGAAAGGTGGAGGGCATAAAGGTTAGTGGCAGCCTAAAGCAACTAGTCTAAACCAATAGGCTGGATTCTTGAAATTGGTAGTTACTTAGTGTTACTATTTAATTAGCCTTTTTTAGTTGCATAGAGATGAAATAGTCCTTACACAGTGATCTATGTTTTATACAAATATTTTTGCCAGTTCTGATGCTAAGAGTGATATGGACACAGGATGCATAGATTCCGTTAGATACAATTGTATTAGTACCAATAAAGGATGATGTTGGACTGCTTTAAGACAGAAAGCAAGACACTTTCGTGAACAAAAAATGGCTTTATTGTGCATAGCAAACTGAAGAATTCGAATAATCCTATATAAGAGATGTTTTGTTAAAAAAATGGCTCATTGCTCAAAAAGAAAAAAAAGTAGAGAAACGTCCGCTTCAAAGTAGGTATATTTTAATCACAAGTCTGCGAGCAAATTAGTAGAATTGTTTAGTGATTCTCAGTTATGTCCTAACACATTGCCATGTGTTTTAGATCTTTTAACACTAGAACCCCACACACCCACACCTGAACCAGTCAGATATGACAAGAAGGATGGACAGTGGTACACTCATGATGGAGTGGATGTCAAAGAAACACAGAAAAGAAAAGGTGAATACTCTGTCTTACACTGTAAATTGCCTTTTGGTCTCAAACTGTGTTGAATGAATGAACCTGCTTCCTTTTTTTAGAAATGGTAACGGTTTCTAAAAGTCCGCATCGATCAGACTTGGCCGGCTCAATGAACGCCCAGAAAGAAACGGATTACTTGAAGATGGCCAAAAAGGGTGGAGGACATAAAGGTGAGAGATCGCAATGTGACAGTTATCGCTAAGTATTCTTTCAAATTGCGTCGATTTAATTTCGAACAACTTATTCCCTACAATTTTCTTTGTGTACGTTTTTCTAATGATCTAATACGATTAATGCTTGCTTAATGTTGTTGTTCATGTACATCAAAATTTGTTTTTGGGCACCATGTGAAAGCAGAATCCTGCTGTCGCGGACTCTTTGTTGTTGTTTAGGATATCTTCAGTGATAATAAGAGTTAACTACATGTGCTGACAGCTCCGCTGGTGCGGACTCTTTGTTGTTGTTTAAGATATCTTCAGTGATAATAAGAGTTAACTACATGTGCTGACAGCTCCGCTGGTCTCATTCCTCAATCGCGGACTCTTTGTTGTTGTTTAAGATATCTTCAGTGATAATAAGAGTTAACTACATGTGCTGACAGCTCCGCTGGTCTCATTCCTCAATCGCGGACTCTTTGTTGTTGTTTAAGATATCTTCAGTGATAATAAGAGTTAACTACATGTGCTGACAGCTCCGCTGGTCTCATTCCTCAATCGCGGACTCTTTGTTGTTGTTTAAGATATCTTCAATGATAATAAGAGTTAACTACATGTGCTGACAGCTCCGCTGGTCTCATTCCTCAATCGCGGACTCTTTGTTGTTGTTTAAGATATCTTCAGTGATAATAAGAGTTAACTACATGCTGGTCCGCTGGTCTCATTCCTCAATCGCGGACTCTTTGTTGTTGTTTAAGATATCTTCAGTGATAATAAGAGTTAACTACATGTGCTGACAGCTCCGCTGGTCTCATTCCTCAATCTGTCCAACGACACTCAATTATGTCAAGAGGATACCTGAAATTTTAAAATGTAATAAGATTGTTACACCTGTCCAGCAGTGAACTGTGTAAAGATTGATTCATTTGAATTTTGTTTTAGATCTTCTAACTGTTGAGCCACACACTCCATCCCCAGAACCACAGAGATACCAAAAGAATGGAGGAGACTGGTACAGTCAAAATAATAAGGACACAACAAGTATGTTGCAGTCTTACTGTCATGTTGTGTGGATTACAGAAACCGTAGCAACAACTTACCATGCAGTTAGGGATTTCTCAAAACGGTCTTTTTTTCGTATATTTGACAATATCTCGCGGAAGATATTTCTCTTTTTTCTTTTTTCAACAATTGTTGAGTTTAGTTATCAGCATTTAAATATTCACACTTTTTTGTTGTTCATAATCCAGAATTTTGTAAGTCCTACTCGATATTGCTGTGCATTTAAGAAGTGCTTTTGCACTTGAAAAAAGTTATTTTGTACTAATGCTCACTATGAACTGTTTGAGTTCACGATTCAGATTATTTATTTAGTTATATGTCAATCTGCTTGTGTAAGTAGGAGCAACAGTTTCCCCATCCAGTCCATCTAAAGGCAACAATAGCAGTGCAACGGACTATTTAATGTTGGCCAGGAAGAGTGGCGGACATTCTGGTATGTTGTTGATTCAGTCGTTTTGAAACGGAGTTTGAAAAGCTTTGTCTGTTTGTGCCTTTTCTATTCTGCAAATAACTCTGCATTTAATCAATCTTGCTAATTTTTGTATCGATTTATGGCTACTGTTTGGTATTGGGGGGGGGGGGGGATTCCTTATCGGCTCCTTTCGTACATTTTACAACGACTCAGCTATGAACGGGATTTTACAATAGTTTAGAAACTCAACAATATCGCGAAATAGCGCCCAGCTCTTCTTTCTGTGAATGGTTTTAAACAACACTTATGGAAATGCCATTTTTTGTTCCGTAGAAGCAACTCGAAGTCCTCGTAAAAACACAGAAAATTCAAAAGTATACAACACTAACACAGAATACCTTAAAATGGCTAGAAAAGGTGGAGGCCATAAAGGTAGTAGCGCTAACATAATATGTAATATGATATAAGGCTTATTGTCCATAATGTTCGCTTTGTAAAATGTATTCTATATACAAGGCTAAAAGGTTAAAAAATTAAAATGTTTAAACCAAACGTTTTCGGCTGTTTGTCATCATCAGGGTTACAAAGATGACCGTCCACACATACATATATATCTTATGTAATTCCGGATGGGAAAAGTTTGGAGACATAAGAAATAACTTGTTTGTTCAAACTGGGGCGGAATTGTTGGATCATTAGTCCCTCGACGATCCTACGCTTGTGGAATGTTTGTGCTGAGGAGAGAACACGCCAAGTGAAAGAATGTGATGGGTTTTCTCGCAGGTGTTTTGCAGGTTCAGAGGTGTGAGCAGGATTTGAATGCTCCGCAATTCGTACTGCTAAGTTTCTCACAGTCTCGCCAATGTAATCAACGCCACAAGAGCAATCACCTTTGTAAACAACTTTGGATCTGTGAGTGTTTTTGTCTTTGTTGTTAAAGAGACTTTTGATTTTTGAAATTGAAATTAGTAAACTTGTTTAGTTTTTCAATAAACGTCTTACTGAGTTTTTCGTTTTTACCGCAAAAAGGAAGCTTGATGAAAACTTTCTTTCGTTCTTCGAAGAGAAAATTCGGAATTAAGTTGTCATCTTGTGACCAGTCGTTTAGAAAGTTGTTGATTGTATGCGAAATAAAACGTTTCGGATAACCTGCATTGTCAAAATCGGTAGAGATGCGTTTGGCTCTATGGAGTGCGCCAGTGATGCAATTCCTTTTCCAATTCCATCTCTACCGATTTTGACAAGGACATAAAAACTCTAGAAACTTCTTTCATCAATGCAGGTTATCCGAAACGTTTTATTTCGCATACAATCAACAACTTTCTAAACGACTCGTCACAAGATGACAACTTAATTCCGAATTTTCTCTTCGAAGAACGAAAGAAAGTTTTCATCAAGCTTCCGTTTTGCGGTAAAAACGAAAAACTCAGTAAGACGTTTATTGAAAAACTAAACAAGTTTACTAATTTCAATTTCATCTTTATAATCCTGTGGCAAACAAGGCAAATCAAAAGTCTCTTTAACAACAAAGACAAAAACACTCACAGATCCAAAGTTGTTTACAAAGGTGATTGCTCTTGTGGCGTTGATTACATTGGCGAGACTGTGAGAAACTTAGCAGTACGAATTGCGGAGCATTCAAATCCTGCTCACACCTCTGAACCTGCAAAACACCTGCGAGAAAACCCATCACATTCTTTCACTTGGCGTGTTCTCTCCTCAGCACAAACATTCCACAAGCGTAGGATCGTCGAGGGACTAATGATCCAACAATTCCGCCCCAGTTTGAACAAACAAGTTATTTCTTATGTCTCCAAACTTTTCCCATCGGGAATTACAGAAGATATATATGTACGTGTGGACGGTCATCTTTGTAACCCTGATGATGGCAAACAGCCGAAAACGTTTGGTTTAAACATTTTAATTTTTTAACCTTTTAGCCTTGTATATAGAATACATAAGGCTTATTAATTACTAATTTAACCCATAATATAAAGAGTGACGTAAGAGGTGTGAAAGGAAGCACCAACAAAACAAGAAAAAGTAATTCATTGAACGAGAGTGAATGTTAATCCCATTACGGAAAATGGTAGTGTAATGCTTGCATAATTAAGTAATGTTAAATAAATTTTGAAATAACGTTTTGGCATCATAAATATAGTTTGCGAAAAAAGATCAATTCGAAAACATGTTATGTTCAAAGCACTTCGTTATACTAACCATAGGCTTTATTATGATCAGAATTAAGAGCCAGCCACCGGTTGAACTAAGCATAACTCTTTATTCATGTTAGTAGGTTGAAAAAACTCGAGGAAAACAGTTACGGAAGGTCTGCGCTTTTGAAGCCTTTTGAGTGACTCAGAAGTCTTTTTCATTGGGCTCGCGACAAATTTTTAACATCTTTCTTTCGCTTTTCCGTACTTCTTACGCCTGTTGTGCCCAAACTGACAGTAATTCGCTCTGGTTAGGTTAGGAATCGATAAACAAAAATCAACTGACCCCACGTAAAGGTAAAGTGTAAATAACAAATTTTCAGTGAAACGAGGTGACCGTGATGATGCAGCATAGAATCTTGGTTATGTACATCCAAATTCTCAGGTTTATGAAAGCTAACCAACTTGAAGACAGGTTAGTAAAGAGTAAATGATGTGGCATTCGATGCAGCATTCCTTTAAGAACAAGCGCACTTTATGTAAGAATAGAGAATTGCCTCATATCCATACTATTGTACTCAGGGGAATTTTTCCACGCAGATCTGTTGACCATGGAGGCCCACACACCATCTCCTAAGCCACAGAGATACCAAAAGAAAGGGGGGGACTGGTACAATCAAGATTATGTTGATGGAAGTAAAACGCGAGGGAAAAAAGGTACTACTTTATTGATTGTCTGTATATCATATATCCTTTCCTTTGGCAGGAGACAAAACAGTCTAAAGAGATACTCTCTTCTATATATATATATATATATATATATGTATATATATATAATGACATATCCGTTGGACAATGTTCTTAGAGTCGGTTTGTTAACGGTGATATCATTGGGATTCTTAGAACCAAAGGAAAACATGTGAATCTACAAACATTTTTGGGCTACATAATATTTTCTTGGTTTGTTTTTATTTTCAGGAACTCGGAATCAAAATGGTGATCCCCCGAAAGAAATCAGCACTGAAACTGAGTATCTTAAGAGAGCACGGAAAGGAGGGGGCCACAAAGGTAAATAGTCACCTCGTAGTAGCTGGCAACCAAGTGAACAGTATATTTTTCATGAATGTTAGGAGATGAAGTCTCCATCCCCCCAAATTTTCCCTTGTGGGAACCGTATTTTATTTTTCTCATTAATGACAATAACAATTCGCTTCTACAGAATCTCCCGCTAATAGTCCAAGAAAATCAAACGTGGACAGTTCACCGGCTTCCAGTGAATACTTGAAAATGGCGAAGAAAGGAGGAGGACATAAAGGTATACAAACAGGAGTGTCTTAAGATAAAAGCTGTAATGAAAGTTTCTCATTTGAGAAAAGGGTTTGCCTCCACGGCAAAAGGTTTAGAAAACTACCAGGACAATGGTAAGCTGACTTGTAATCCTGAGTGCTTTATTCCTGCTATAAGTGAAGGTAACGTCTCTGTTTCGGTCGGGATTATTCAAGTACTAGGGAAAGTTAGGAGGGACTCAAAACAATTCTGAAACCAGTAAAATGTTCTTGTTCACACACAATTTGGAACAGGCAACCTTTAGATACCTAGAATTTGCTGTTTCTTTAAGGATTAAAAAAAAAACAATCCTCGTCATTTGCGGATTGAGCAACCTTCACAATCTCTGTGGAGTAGCGTAAAGAAAATTTTAAACTGTATATCTATCATTTCTCTGACTTGTTTCTTAATAACAAAAAATAATGTGTAGGTCTCAATCGGTCAATTAAGATGGGTACATCACAGGTCTTTTTATTTTGGGGAACTTGGACTACTAACAGAATATCTCTATAAGGCAAAGAGTATTTATGCGCGTTCAAACAAGAACCAGTGACATATTGTCGAGAAAATTGTACTGGCTGCTAATTTACTGGCGTTCGGCGTACAACCACGTTAGCTTCACCTTTGGAGGATGCTTCTTTCAGAGGACTTCATTGTATTTCAGTGAAACATCACATTCTTGGCCATTCTCATTTCATAATGTAAAGGGAGTTGTTGCCTTTGCGATAGCGATAGACTTCGTGCTAGTCCTCGTCTGTTGTTGAATGATTAACATTTTATTAAATGTATCGGTTACAGACTTACTTATGATGACACCTCACCAAGCCAGCCCGAAGCCAAATCAAGTAAAGAAGCAAAATACAGGTGGATAACATCCTTCCCTTTCGTCATAAAGTTTAACTGTGCGGGAAACGTTCTTTGAAATTAGTAGACATGATAATCCACTATTGAAAATGAATGAAAGTACCACTCAACGTGAAGGGTTTCGTTCACCATAATCCTCTTTCAGAACAGTAATGCAGTCCGTCAGAAATCTTGTCTTTTCTATTTCTGGCAGTCCCTTTTTGCATCTCAGACTTATGATCCTTAGATTTTATTGAGAAAAACGGTCAGTCATTGAGTACTCATTGTGATTCTTCTTAGATACAATCCCGGTAAACAGCCCCAGGACTGTAAGTAGCTCGAGTAGGGACTCCACGGAATACCTCAGACTTGCCAGAAAAGGTGGAGGCCATCCAGGTAAGAGACATTCAGATAACAGTGATATACGGTTTGAACCTTCATTAGCTTTGATTAATTGCCTAACTGGGTGAATTTAATTGGCAGATCTTCTCAACAACTCCCCACGACAGTCTGACTCTTCAGTTGTAAACCGTTCTGATGCAATGGATAGTTCACGAAAAATTGGTTAGTTTTACCTCGAGAACTGTATGACTTAGTGATGTACTTTTCTCGTCATAGTGTTTCGTAGTTTAGAGCTACCTTAAACAGTCTAACTCTACATTTTATGTACATATTTTTAACTTCACTCAAAGATTTATCTTAATATAGCAACTGAAATTCAGTTATAAGAAATGGGGTCGCCAGGCTCGTTTTGAGCTATAGGCACATAAAGCAAAAAAGGTGTCTATCAGAGGATGTAGTGTTGCTATGGTGTCCTTTATTGTTGCAATTTGTTAAGAAATAATTGGGTATTTTTTTTAACTAATTTCGAGGAACAGCTTGGAAACTACGATCCATCAGAGAATCGTGTTTAGCTCTTTAACTCCCGCGAGTGACCAAGACAGGATTTCCCCCTACTATATCTATACAGTATCATGCAGACAAGTGATTAGAATAAAGAAAAGTATCAATTATGGGATAACTAATTGATCCGATACTAAATTCTCCAAACTAACATAATGAGAATCATTTGGCAGACAGTTAGGAGAAAAACTAATGCCGCGATCTTGGGAGTTAAATGGTTAATGATAAGGACACCATTTTGAGGCACCTTACTAATTCAAGCCACCTTTAACATGCAACAGCCTTGAGGTGAAAGGTGAAAGATCCAAAAGTAAGACATCAAACAGATTTTGAGAGAAAACTTTACACTGAAGGTTTGCGTCGTGACACACTTTGTACGCGAATTGAGTGACTGAGATAAACGGGTGTTATTCAACTGCCCATTTCTCATTTTATCATATTAACTGCTATGCAAAATTGGATATTGTTTCAACCCTTGAAACATAAGTCATCTTACAAGTCTATTGTCAGCCTAGTCTCCTTCACAACCATTTTTTTGGCCTTGTCGCCCTCCATTTCTAATCACCTTCCCCTAACCACGTTGCTTGAAGAGATTAAACAACAGCTTTAGAGTAATCTATTGTTTGACACTCCTTGAACCACCTCGTGCACCCTTACTAACGTGACATTTGTGTTTTTGGTAGAACCCAATACGTCTTTAAGGCGAAGTGCAAGTATGCGGCACAGAGGTCCAGTATCTGACTATCTTGGTATAGCTCGTAAAGGTGGTCACCACAAAGGTTTGTCAGCCTTTATATTGCCTAAGGAGTACTTTGAACTCCTTACTTGTAATTCTCTAATTTGATTTATTAAAACAGTTTGGAGTGGGTTCATATTGTTCATTCTATTCAGCAACCGTCTGTTGCATAATTCCACCTTTCACATCAGGTTACTCAAGCTCTTATTATTTACTTTTTTATTTTCCTTATGAACAGATCTGTTAACAATGCCCGAGACGAGTAACTTCAGAAGAGGTTTGTAAATTGTATTTGCTTTGTTTGAATTGTGGCATAATTTCCAGTTATGGCGTGTAGGAAACATGTCATGTAGTAATAGAGCAGGCGGTAATCTGCTCACGTATTTATTATTTCGTTCACAGATCAAGAATCACGCAGAAGTTTACGGAGGTAGGAAACAATCTTTGAATAAGTATAACATTGGCTCTACGTGTTTATATCAATTCCCTATTTTGTGGTGTTGTGACTTACAAGAGAGATGGTGAAATGTCTGAGAAACTTAGCAGCTCTATTTGTAAGGATAAATTATGATCATTAGCACTGATGCATAATTTTGAACTTGTTGTGAAAACAGTGTCTAAAAATAGTATGTAAAAATACAGTGGGTAAAAAAATCATGAGCTCCTTCTCTGAAACTGTTTAGATTAGGTTAGTTCAGGAAAGTCTGCTTAACTGTGCCTTTTACACCTTACATAGCTTCAGAAGCCCTATTACCTCTCAAGTTGATGGGCCGCCAAGACCCAGGACAGCTGAGCCTCGTCAGCCAGTGTGGATGGGGGGCTCTGGACCTGAGAGAGTCAGCACTCCAGTGAAAAGGACTCTGATTGCGCCATTTGCTTCCCATGAGGGCTCTCCAGGGTAACTGTCTTTGATAACTGATATTTCATGATTAATTATTTAACCCTGACGGGTGAAGGATATTGTCTCACTTTCCGACTTGAAGTGCTTTATGTCAGTATAGTCAGGGTGAAAAAACTTTCAATCTTGAAACACAATCCTCCAAACGACGATATGCAGTCGAAAATTCTTATTTGACGATTTCTGTGCAATTTGATCTGATTTTTGACAAGAAAGGTATGTTGTCTAACAAGACCAAGAAATGTAAAATTTAAGCCCTATCGTCAGGGTGTCCTTTGAAGGAGACTGGATACAGTTTTTTTTTATCTCTAACTTGCTATGTTTTCGGTTATTCACAGTTTATTTTTGAAAATATAAAACAATGTTTTCTTTTCTAATGTGACTTTTTATTTCTCGCTTATGTGGAATCTCTTTTTTTCCTTCCGTAGGGCGGCACGGAACCCAGATAAAATTTAACACGGCAAACTACATCTCATCATCATCAACAGATTTAACCGGCGATCCGAGAAACGACTTATTTCAATAATTTTCATGAAGTAATTTTGTCAAACGCTTGGTGAATAATTTATATAGTAGTTATTTAGACGTAGAAAGGAAAGTTTAATGAAACCATAGAGTTAACAGATAATGTCAAATGCAACATTGCTGTCTTAGATTCTAAATCGTTGTAGTTTAAATTAGATTGTTTTAGCAAATAAGTAACAATTTCAATTTTTGAATTAATGTTTATGCAATTAGATAAGGAACACCAGTGAACGCAAATTTTGCAATGCATTAGAATTATATCTGAATAAGTATTGAATGAAGTAGTTAGGAATAGTTCAGGTTAGTCTACGGGAATTTTTTTGAGTCATTTTACGTTAATAGAAAAGGTAAAAGGGATTTAATTTTCAGCTACATCAGTTTTTTCTCCTTTTCATTGTGATCACTTTGTTCGTTAAAGTTAATAAAGGGAAAGCCATTTATTGATAATTTTTTGTGAAGTACGCTGGAAATAACACCAATCTCAAAGGTCGCGAAACTATTAGTTATAGTTGAAGCACAATTTTTATTTCTTTGTAAATGTGGGAAAACACTCAATAGATTAATTTTTCTGTATCAAGCCATTTCTTTGGGCTGACGCAACAAGTTACCGTGTGCGCTGCCAAAAGAGTAGCTTGTTTGTAACTGATATGCTCAAGTCACAGAATACTATTACTTATAAATATATGTGATATTTAATATAATTTATGATACTTCAAGTCTCCGTTGAGAGTTGTCTTTCCTTTTTCAAACAATCGGCATTATAAGTTTAAGCATGAAAATTGCACTTTGAGTAAATGTAGAGGCTGTCAATTACTTCATTTTACTTCACTTTGCTTCACGATTCAACGAAATTACCAGTTGTGACATGGCTATAAACGTTGTAAGCCAAGGGGATGATAGATTTTATCTCTCTCCATGGGACCAGTAGACGTAGCGGGGGAAGGAGTTCAAGATCTCAATGGGGTGTTTGGGGGGGGGGGGGCTTTGAATGAATTAATGCACTGTAAGGTAATAAGTACGAGTCTTTCTTGAAAACCCTTTACAGCGTCAGTGGCAGTTTCAAGGTGTATGGGAATCTTACATAGAGTTAGCATGTAGAAGTTTTTGGTATTTATGGAGTACCATTTTATCCTTGAATTGATCCTTTGCTCCAAGTGAAGGGTGTTTCAGTGCGAGACCTTATCTTTATAGAACTGTCGGCGATATGTATAGATTTTGTAGGATAGAAGCCGCTGGCCTTGTTGCAGAGTTTAGGATCGAAGTGAAAATAACTTATGATTTCATTTCTGAACGTTTTCAAGCGTTTTTCATTAACACCATATGTGCATGCCTTATTTCTATTTTACGTCACTTGTATTTATTATGTTCAGCTTTTAAGATGACCCCCGGGACTGAAGAGGCCAAGATCATTTTGAATTAATCCTTTAGCCTCTTAGTTGCTGTCTTAATCGTGATACGGTTAAAAATGTCCCAAAAAAGATAATGATAGATATACAAAATTTCAGAATTTTGAAGTCCAGTTGTGACCACTTTGGCCATTTGTTGTTCAGTGATCATTCTAGAAGATAAAGCTACGACTTAGATGTTAAAAATGAGTAAATCTGTGGAGTAGAAAGCACAAGCACTTGCGTTAGGTAATGACGCTTCGGTGCAAATCATTACAGAATAAAATTGCAGTTCATTAGATCAGAATAGTCTGCTATACTTGTATTATTAACTACACATATTGTAAGGAGCCTATTTCAATGACTAATTTTCAGTAACAGACTGAACTAGTTCTTGTAAATGACCATGGAGGATAAGCACTGAATCGCAACTTAACCAAGTACACTTTCGCCTCCTATCCACTTTCAATCCTATGCAAGCCATTAGAAGTTACAAAATTCCGCTGTAAAATTGGTGAAAATTTCTATCACCCCTCATGTAGCCTTCGAGATTCGTTTTACTATTATTTTTCATCCCACCACTGGCAGTAAAATAGCCGGTGCTGTTCTACACCCTACAACTTCTCTGCAGCGACTATGGTTACGGTGGATCTTTTAGGATCCTGCATTAGCCTGACGTTTTCTTCCTCGCTCTTATTCTTTTCATTTTCAAGCGATCGGGGAAGATGAACGATACTCACAGAAATTCGAAGTTTCAGGAGAGAGAAGGAAAATATCGCAGCAGCTCACAAAAAAAAAAAAAAAAAAGTGATCGCTAAATATCTCTTCACACTTGCGTGAAAAGGTAGATAGAATGAGAGATATATGGACTAAATTTTTACTTGAAAGATAATTCTTAGTTTTACTTGAACAGTTCCGCTTTCAGTGCCCTCCGAATACAGCTGTAGGACAATACAAACAGGCCGTTGCGACCCACTCAAAGGTAACCGCGACCGCTCAATAGAGGTGAAAATTACAGTGATTAAAGGGGAAACAAATTTTCAGGACTTTGAAAACCAATTGCTTAGTACAGGGTGACCGCTTAATACAGGGTGACCGCCTAATACGGTGCCGCTTAATACAGTTTAGACTGCATTTCGCAAGAAAAGAAGAAATCTCGTTGTTGGCTTTTTACATAGACTTCCGAAAGGTGATGGGCCATCACTTCATACAACCATTGAAAAGCTATTACAGAGTTTGAAAAGTAAGGGAAGAAGTTTTTAGTTCCTTGGAGATGTCAATGTAGTTTTTCTTAAGTATAACGAGGACACGCAGAGCTCGAAATACTCAGACAAGGTATTTGATTTAGGTGTTTTACCAGCTATAACAAAGGGATCGCGCCTTCTCCGTCATTTAACACTTATACGATCTTGTGCTCTAATAATTGTTAAAGGGTTATCTTCAATCGGGTATTTGCCGGATAGAAATTTTGGACCCCCTCCTAGTGTTCTCCACGATAGCTAAAACATTTCACTGAATATCTTTGAGAATTTTCGCACCTCTCCCATGATGCATTCCTTTAAGATTTATCTGGCTTTGATTTTAAAACCTTTGTAAATGATGTGGTGAGGGTGGACCGTCATGCTCCGGTTTGGAAGGCTTTGAGGCGGCAGAAGGACAAGAGAAAGCGTGGGTATCCACAGTTCATCTAGTTTTCACTGAAGGCAAGCATAAGCCATTTAGACCTCACTTCAGAACGGGATAACGACTACCTGAGTAACTGGGTAAATAACTAAAGTGCAGTAATAGGCGAAACTAAAATTTTAAAGTTGCGTGTACAATTTACCCAGTGAGGCAGACAGATCGACTTAAGTCGATAGAGATAAAATCAAAAGCACTTGAACATTTAGAGGAACACGAATAAACAGAAAAGGAAATGGTTCTCAAAGCTCAATTAGAAATACATCCTTCAATAATAAGCAAACAAAGGACTGGTTGTCAGCGCACAATCTATTTATCGAGTTTGGGAAAACTCTGGCAAATGAGTAATCAGCAATTGACAATGGTCTCTCAGCGAACATGCATCAGCTGCCTCTTTGTGAATATTCTTATGTTTCATGATATTTCTAAAGCGAACTCTGTGACAAAATTATCAATCTGCTGTGGTAAAATCGACTAAGGCATTCGCGGCATTAAGTTTGTCAAATTTGCATCTCATTACCTTTATGAAGTGCTGACAGTAGATACCAACCAAAGACTGCAAGAAGGTATTTTTTCCAATTTTTGTCAAAATTTTTGATAAGGGAGGTGAGGGAAGGGAAGGAAAATTTTGATCACTTCAGTTGTCGTCTGATTTCTGAACTTTCAACTCTAACTGGCAAAATGTTCGAAAAAAATGTATACGAGCACGTAGTATTCTCTTCAGATTCAGTTCGGATTTTAAAAGGGCATTCTGCAACTCAAGATCGAGCATAACTCGCTGACAACTCAAGGTGATATAAGGTCAATCGTATTGCACAAGTGGGCTTTCTTAGACGTTTCAAAAGTCCTTGTTACTGTTGATAATAACATCCTAAAAGGAAGAATTCCTAGTAAATCGATGAATATTCATGTGTTGGTTGAGATGATGAGGTCATTTATTACACTATTAGTACCTTCACAAACACATGCCTAGTAAGCCACACTGTTTACAAGGATCCTTCACATGCCTGTTTGTCCTTCACATGTCACATGCCTGTGACGATTAATTACGATGAAGTATCAGTAACATAGCTTACAAGGCCTACTTTACAAACGTCCTACTGTTTAATTACTTGAGCTTCAAGTATTGGATATCCTCTCTATCGATTTAAAACGAATCGCTCCACTGAGGAACTAAACGTCAGCTTTACGCTGTAGGAACTAAAGATGGCTAATTTAGTTGGTAAAACCAAATTATCCTATAAATACCCACCTACTGACGCGGCACCACAATTTCTTTAGAAACCTACCCCGGCTTCTTCATGCACGAATAATCGTTGCGTTATGTAAATCGTACTTTTGTTTTCAAATTGTCTAGTGGATACAATATGATGTGTTACACCACAACCAGGTTATAGCCGGTATTGTCGGTAGTTTAGTGGTTTGATCAAAATAGATTCGTTTGGTAATAAAATTAAGGAAAGACGTCGTTACTATCTATGGATCAGACAGAAGAAAACGAGGAAGCGGACGTGAAGGACGATTTTACTAGAGGAATTGCTTATTTTTGGAGATCGACGAACCTAGAACCGCACATTCGAAGTGTGGCATTCAGGGAAGGAATATCTAAGGTAGCCTTAGGAAATCACCACACTTTACTTCTCACGTTCAACTCTCAAGTCCTTTCAGTTGGCGATAACTCTTTCGGCCAGCTCGGCCTTGGTGATCTTAAATCCCGTAGGGAGCCCACAGTTATTGATTATCTGCGTGACAAACCAGTACATGAAATAAGTTGTGGTGGTCAACACAGTGGCGTCATATGTGACAACAGAGACGTTTTTTTCTGGGGAGATTCATCTAGGGGACAATGCGGCATCGATGAAACAAACCTTGTTAACCTTCCTTCGCCTGTACGGTTTGAACGGAGTAGCATCTCTGATGCTAGAGAAACACAACAAAATGATAGTAACAAGCAGAGGGAACCTGTCATAATTGAGATTTCATGTGGAGACAGCCACTCACTTGCACTCTCAAGTGAAGGTGAAGTCTGGTCCTGGGGAACTGGTTGTCAACTGGGACATGGTGTTGAGACAGACAGAATTAATATTCCTAAACAAATAGATGGTTTGATTGGTAAAAATGTTACAGCAATTGCATGTGGAGCATACCACTCTCTGGCAATTGTCCAAGAGGATCAACCATATCCAACTTTTGTGTTGTCAGGAAATGATAGAGAGGCAGTAACATCAAAGTCAACACACAAAGTAAAACGGGAAAAGTCTGGGAAGAAACAGAGAAAACTATCTAAGGGATCAAGCAAAAAAAGCCAAGTTTCTGGAAAACATGAAAAGGAAAGAGATTTCAAAGTTGAACCAGTTGCAAGTCCACTAGAAACTGAGAAGTATGGTGTGACGCGGACTTACCTCAGTTATGAACCTGTGGCTACTGAAACAAATGCTGAGGGATTTATTAGGGATGTGGCCAATAAAGGAACTTTATTGTTACAAGATAAGAATGCTAAAATAATCTCAAAGAAAGAGGAACCAATCCTCTATTGCTCTGATGATGACATCTTAAATATAGATGTTAACAATGAAGATGAGGCACAAGTGACTCATGATACAGCTTCTGCAGTTCATATTCATGACAGGGATATATCTCTCGATATTATTGACACAGGGTTTGCTTCACTGGAGAAGAATGATTTTGAACAGTACCTCAACATCAGCTCTGATCAGTCATTCCAAGAAATACACTCTGCTGAAACTACAGCTTCTGAGAAAAATATATCTTACTCAAGTACATCAAATGTATGTCTGTCAACAGTATCTCCATCAAGCCCTACAAGTTCAAGAAGTATTACGTATTTTGTAAGCACTGATTCAGACTCTGAGGATTCCCTTAATAAGGTGATCAAGGACAGGAAACCTACAGAGCCAGCTGCACCTAGTAGAACTTCATCTGGCCTTTACAGTGCTATTGGCAGTAGACTCGTTAGACCTGATGTGAACCTAAGTAAGTTGACAAGTGCTGTAATGGGTTCTGTCACCGGCATGTTTATGTCGTCAACTCCTGGACAGTTCTCAGTGTTCGATGCTCCAAAAGCTGTTATGGCAAAGGATCCTTGTAAACAGTGTGGCTTACTAGGCGTGTGTTTGTGTGAAGGTACTAATAGAAACAAATTTAAATTGGCTGGTTCAAATACTCAGGTTTGGTCATGGGGAAGGGGAGGCTGTGGACAGCTTGGTCTAGGAGATACAGAAGACAGGTACAGTAATATCTTGCTTATATTCATAGGGTTTAATTGATCAACGATTACTATTTATGACAATTATAATTGGAGATAATAATTTATTAAGATTTATTCTCTCAGATTTTTTAACAGTTTGGTTATTGTCCAATGCTAGCTATGGTAAGGGTATACAGTAGTTAAAGATAAATTTCATGCTGCACAATTGCATAGTTTTTAAATACAAATCAAACTACCATGAGGTTTGAAATCATTTTAAAGCAAAATCATTTGAAACTTCAACATACTGTATATTATTTGTCAATAATGATTTACCTCTGTAATTTTCTCTGTGTTTAACTCCTTTTTAAAGTGCAAGTAGTTGCTTTGCTCTTAAAAATATGTGCATGGATGGTTTC